TAACTAAAATGAGCTCTCGTGCTCCGGAATTACTTAGCACAAGTACTATGAAACGTTCCTAAATTTAGCCTAGTATGTAACGTTACTTTTTTTTTATTCTTACTTTCAGAATAGCCATAATTCCTTTTACATTCACAAATGCCAGTAATTATGGTTCCAATAATGTAAATTAAATTGTTGGGCGTAAATTATGGTTCCAATAACTCGATAATTCCAGTGTTAACTAGGCTCAGTTCATCTCTAACTATTCTCTTAGAATAATTAAAATCATTACAAAGCACTTGATGGTTATCTACCAAAATGCTGGGAACGAATAGTTCATGAACCTCACCTGACTCATTGCACATGAACTTTGGATGAGTTATCACTTTGCTCTGAAAGACCATAGATTCAGAGTGAATTTTCTATGTATTTAAATGCTTCAACCAATCTTAGTCCTTTCGCTTTACCTTAGAGAACATGTCACCAATTAAAGCACATTATGACAGTTTGGCTAAAACATGGGTAATAATAATTGTAATTAACTAACGTCTAAACTTCTGCTTACATTTAATTTAATTCGTTTTAATAGCAGACTTTAATTTTATACTGATGTTTGATGCAGAAAGAATGAGTGTATTAAGTAAGTAAAATATGTTTGGTAAATAAATAAAGTTTCATTTTATACAGCAGAGCCCTGATACAAATAGTTGAATAAATAAATGACAACTTTAAATGTACTTGGTGCACTTGAAAGGATCCGGTAAGTTAAAATAATTTTAATGAGAGCTCTTCCTAAACCGAATGTCGCAAATCAAAGATAGCGCAAAATTGCTGTTTGACGTGTTGGAAGTTAAATTTTAGTTAAACATATGAGACCAGGAACCGTACTCAGGAGATGAATAAGGTATAAGCTTGGATGCAAAACGAAACAGAACTTGGTTGAAAGACTTCACTTCATTCTCTGTACTAACTATATCGCAATAGCTTCAGACAGATTACATTTATATATATATATATATATATCATGCTAATTTAACTACGCCTACGTAGCTGTTTGATCCGAATTCATTTAATATCGCGTTTTCAGAAAGTAGGGTTACAAAGGCTCAATAAAGATATTAAATTTTAAGCTTGAACGGAAACAGCTATATCTGGCTTCGTTTTTAGATTGAATTGTTAAATACAAATATACTTTTGAACTAGTGTAAAACTGACTGAAGCTTTATAATTCTGCATATGAAACCTTGCTTGCTACAGGATTATTTTATTCTAAACCTTCATATTAAATTAAATAACATGGCATTAATTTTTGAATGCCTGTTTATTAAATGTGCTTTGAAAACTTTCAAGCTTTTAAGCAGGATTCTTTCAAAAACAGGTTATATCATTATATTTAAAAATAATCCTAGTACTATAAAAATTATAATTTTCAAATGCAACAATTTAAGCCCAGATTTTAAAAACACAAAGAAGATATACTTTCATACGAGTTAGAATTTGTATAGGAAAACAATTGAACTTAGAAATTTGCATTCATTCTTTTCACTGACATTTAAATATCACATTTGTGTTTCTGAAAATGATCCAAAATAATTTAAAGAGTGAGTTAAAAAAATTATGTACTATATCAAATATTCGAACAGCAGATATATGGCGGATATGTGCGTGTGCTTGTATTAAATATAAATCTGTCACTCTCTCTCCCTATATATATATATATATATATATTGTTCAAAATTGGTCTTTTTAGTATTGTACTTACAAACTAGCTTATAATACACACACATATATATATAGGGAGAGTGACATATACAAATGTAAGAAATTGAGCACGACATATTTCACATAAATTAAATATTTATTATATTTAATATTTAATATGTATATTATTTTCACATAAAGTCGAAATTGAAACCTAAAAATCTGAAAATGTACACCAAAACCAGAGAAATAAATAAAGAATAGGAACTCAATCAAATCTGATGTAAACGTTATCAAGAGTAGGATACATTACACATTATTACGATGTTCTCGCTCCATTTCTTGTAGATTCTATGTCTCTTTCTACATTTTAATTTCAATTGTGATCTTACATAGTGTAAAAATTGCTTCAACATTTTAATTTACTCTAATTTGGAATTTTCTTCAATTGGCTGCATTTAATATTTGGCACTAACGGATTACTATTTTGTCCTCTAAGTAAATTTTGATTCATATTTCTGGTTTATTTTTTATTTCAATATTAAAAAAAAATATTTGATTTCATTCTTGACATTGATTCTACCTCGCATCGAGGAGGTCTTCAGTATTTTCAGATGAACTGTTATTAATTAAAAACTTTAGAAATGTTCATCAGCTAATTTTGAATACAGAAACGCAAGGGATTTCAGTGAAAGGGATTGTAATTGAGTACGATCTGTCCTCTTGATTAGGTTAGATCAGACTGAGTTCCTCTTCTTTATTTTTTATCTGGTTTTGATACATATTTACTGGTTTTTATAATTTAGGTTTTAATTCTACATTTCTTTAATTCTTATTTTGTGTATTTATATGATATTTCCGAATTCATTGGGACTAATTTTACTTTTATAGAGCTTTGTAAAAATATGTTCTAAATTTCTTACTGTTTGTATATCAGCTGCATATTGCGCGGAAATACTTGGAATAATTACTTTTTTAAATAAAAATTATGTGATACTTTATAGATAGACAGATAGATGTCGATATTGAAACATATATATATAAGAAAGACATAGTATCTGACGTTTAGGAGGATACTGGAATTAACTATTTTGCAATAAAAGGCAGTTGTGCATTTTCACTGATCACTTTTTCTTAAATTCATAGAATAAGAAATATACTCAAGCACTGCAAGCACCAAGATGGCCATAGTCGATGTTCAATAGTTTCAAACAGCATTTTTTATTATTAAATCGAGTGCAAAAAGAGATAGAAGTCGAGTACCATGTGTTTATCAAAAGAACTCCAGCGTATGAAGATAACTTACTTTCATAGATTTAAAAATAATAAATTGTTTTATTTTTCACTCAGTTATATAATATCTCTTTATATTATTAGTTAATAAATATTATTATTTTTGATACTACTGGAAAATTATTTTACTTTCGCAATCGGAAATATGTAAATACAAGCGCCATTTGCATTATATAACAACCTCTAGTTAGCTAATAATTCTAGGATGACGCCCTTCAGAAAGATTCGTTATCAGCAATTAGTTGCTTTTTCACTAGATAAGAGAAATAACTAAATTAATAAGGAGATTTTGGAGGCAAAATAAGGTTAAAATTTGTTTCACATATGTATTTGAAAGTTAATATATCTAATTTTTTTTTAAATTGTAGACTGTTTACTGAAGTCTTAAATTCCAGGTTTCTTTTTAAGTTTTCACTTAGAGATTTATGCAAATTTACATTCAAATATTTCACAATATATTATGTTGTACAATGTGTCATGACTTCACATAAAAGAATAAGGTTTCTGTTTAATTTGAAATGAATAGATGGAGGTTAGGCATTTTTGTTTTGAGTAATAATAACAACAATGATAATAATAATAATAATAATTTGTTTAGTTTCAGAATACTAAATATAAAGCCATATTTTAGGGTTTACAAAACAAAAATAACTATGTCTTATTTTAGTTGGAGAAAAAATGCTTGTTTCAGGCACATATTACATAAAAATAATTTTAGTATCTAGTTTTTGTCACAAATGAATGTGTTTTCTAATTTATATCCATTAATATAAATAATTTCTATTTTATTTCATGGAAGGAAATACATTTCATTAGTAAATTTTATGAAACTTTTGATGCGGCAAATGAAGAAAATTAAATTTCTATGTATGTGCTACAAAAAGGGAGAATTGGATATACAGACGAAAGTAATATACATTATCAGGACTTTTGGACTAACCAAAATGACTGTAATTACGGTTGATCGGCATATTTTGTATTCACAATGATATAAAAAATTGCGAATTGTGAATTACCCCTTTCTTTATTCACAATGATATAAAGTTTTAGAAAAAGTGCAGAATTCAGACAAAAGTTGTTTTCAAGTGGATGCTATCACATTGTGGTTTTTGAGGAAATGAGATGGCGGACATTTTGGGAAAAAAAAAAAAAAAAAAAAAAAAAAAAAAAAAAAAAAAAAAAAACAGCTGTTCTTTAAAGGTCTTCCAGAGACGTATCTCTTCACTCTAACTAAACTTGAAATCAGTAGGATTTATAAAAAATCCTTTCACAATGCTGCTGTTAGTGCTACTGAAAATAAGTCATGGAAGGTGCTATTAAAAGCCGACTGTGTCTCGGACTCTCCTTGTGCTACTGCTGTGGCTCAGTTTATAGACTATTGTCTGGACATGACTGCCTTGGTTGTCATTTGTTTCATTTTAATCTGACTGCCACACATTTATGTGCTGGACATGTCATTTACGCTGCTTATCTGATCCTATGCTCAGCACTTAAGAATTTGGACTGCATTGTAAAGAAGTGTTGGAGAGCTCGTTGCCTATTGACCTGATGGTCAATGGCCAGGCATTGCATAAATAAAATTTAAAAAAATATATATAAAATTTCTTTTAATTTAAAAAAAAATATAAAAAAATAATAAAATTCCGAGTATTCTCTTCCAAAATTAACTGACTTTTCATTGCACTTGAAAATGAAAGGAATTTTTTAATAATATTTAAATACGATACTATAAACATACAGAAATATGTTTGAAGAGCTAGTGATTAAAAAACACAGTTTAAATTTCAGCTATGATGAATTATTTCACAAAGTGGTATGACAGTTTCAATAAGCGTTTTATTAAAAATCGTTATATTTTTCAAATTATAAAAAAGGTTTTGATTTTAAGGCTTCTATTTCAAGTGTAATAAATAAAATATACGCTTATAAGTTATATGGAGAGACGGGATATTCTAACGCAATAAATCGGCGACTGTTCATACTACTTCCTTCATCTCATTCCTTTTCATATATTTTGTTCGTAGGTGGAGCCGAAGAACTTCTGGGCAGATTCTTGACATCTCAGCATCTGACGATCGACGACACCTGATAAACGGCAGTCTCATCCTCAGACGCGTCAACCCTCAAGACAGCGGCTTCTATGTATGCGTAGCGAAAAGCGAAGTTGGGGAAGTGAAAACTGAAACGCAGTTGACAGTTAGAGGTGAGAGTTTTCAATTTAGCCTTCCTTCTATCTCGGAGAGCTTAAAAAAGATTGCAAGCTCGAATATGAGTTTTGTACTTCATTTCAGCGAGTTGAATTTCATCATTTTCAAAGGTAGAATTAAGAATAAAATAGCATATGCGGCGGAAAAAAAAGCATATAAATCAGCTTTTAATGTACTCTAGAAAATGTTCTACGTGGTTTCGTAAACACTTATGCAATCCTTAGGCTCTATAGTTTTTGAAGAAAATTCTTAATTATGGCGATTCTAATGAATATGCGTATGCTAAACAAACTGCGCAAGTTTAAATTCTAATTTAGTTAAAATTTTGAAAAATAATTATCATACAGGACACAATAAATGAGACTAAAACGTCGGCTAATGAGCAATTGTCAATAACAAATTAAAATATTTATCCTTTATTTTTATATGCGTGCTCCAGTGGGTTGGAGGATTACCTACCTTATTTATTTAACACCTCAGAGAATTGTCATTTATTCTTGGGAAAAAAAAAATGTTGTTTCATCGGTTATTTTTCTTCATTACATTAAAAATCAGAAATATTGCAGATCAAATAAGGCATAAAATTTTCATTTATTTTCTAGTAGCCACTACTCAACCAGCCTTCGTTTGGCTTTTAAATGTACCAGAAAAATGTCTAAAGGGATCATCAAACATTAAATTTAAGAGTTGGACGGAATTTTACTCTGCAAAACAACTTTATCAAAAAAATGAAAAACAACAACAACAACAACAAAAAAAAAAAAAAAAAAATCAAAACCATAAATTTCAATAAAAACGTATTATACACAAAAACATTACATTGAAATAAGCAATATCCCTTAAACAAATATTAATTGTCCTAATAAATAAATTAACTTCCCATTGCCAAGTCTTAAGAATTCAAATGGTATAAAAGGAAGTTAAAAACTTCGTTTCCTGAAACTAATCGTGTAAAACTTATTATATAATTAAAACTGTATATAGGTAAAACATAATATAAAAAAAATTACAACGAAATAAGCAATAAATCTCATATTTTCATGAGAAAACAGTCAGCAGTCCAGTATCCAAAGCAAAAAATGAAAATCTCTTCCGAAAACCACATTCTAAGAGAATGACACTATCATCAGAAAGCAATAACCTATCAAAATTGTGCTTTGTGGATGCCATAGTTCAAAATATACAAACATCTTTGCCATTAGCTAATAAAAATTGACAGGAAAAAAAAAAAAAAATTCTTCTGTTGTGCCTCGCGAGACACACGCGCGTCCGATAAGAAGATTGTATAATTAATAGTGTCGCGTGTCGCTTGTATAATTAATAGTATTTTATCTCATATTTTCAACAGTCAGCAGTCCAGTATACAAAGCATTGAATGAAAACCTGTTGCCAAAACCAAATTTCTAAAAGAATGAAACTATTCAAAATGACGCGATTTCATCAAAAAAGATAAAATAAAAAAATAAAAATATTCGAATTAAAAAAAATCGCTTCGAAGTGCACTAGCTGTTGTGTAGGTACACATATGTGCCAAATTTAGTAGCCCTGGGTCTATTAGCTTACGCGCAGCACGAACGATAAACACACGTACATACAGACTATATCTTTTATTATATGAAGAGATATTGTAAAAACGTCCAGTAAAAATTCAAGAAAATATATTTTACGTATATTTCTTAGTAACATTCTACAGCTAGTTCAACGTTTACATAATACATCAATATTATTATTCTTCTAAGATCATTAATAAGTCAACTACAGCATTTATGCAATGAAATATAATGGCAACGAAGAAATTTTTCTGTGATGCATAAATTTCAACTTTGGCCTTATCCATTGCTATCTTATGTTTTAAATTTGTGCTTTCCAAATTTATTATAAAAGGAATTTTTTTTTTGAAACCTGACATACCATTTAATATATATCTATATAGTTTATAAGAATAAATTGAATTTAATTAAATAAATTTAATTTAAATAAATTTAAATACAAATTTAATTAAATCATTCTTTGCGCTATTGCTGCAAGGAATGAAATATAAATTTAAACAAATTAAATTTAAATTTTAACAAACATGTATAAAAGTAAAAAAGCAAATTTAAATCCAAAATTAAAAATACTTTATACTTAATTAAAAATACTTGCTTGTTTCTCAAAAGACTTCATTAGTATTTTCCTTTTAAAACTTTAATTCTTAAATGCTAATTTCTAAGGGTACAACTTTATTGGTTTTTCTTTTTGGACATTCTTCACTTTTTACTTTTGGTTTTGACTTTTACCCTTGCCTGCATGAATGACGAAGCACGAATTGAATGATGGGAGAGTTAGGTTTGGAGGCAACTTCTCCTTGATAAGTCTGTCTCCTGCCTGCTCAACAGTCATTCACGTATGCATATTTTTCATTTTTTTTAAAAATTGTATGGATTAATTTTAATTTGCTAAATTAGTGAATTAATTTTCATGGATTGGTCTTGCACTTGATTTGCTTATGCTTCTGAATTTAAATGATATTGTAGATTAGTTCGAGAATTAAATCTTTTACATGTTTACACATTTTTTGAAATATATATATATATTAATATACTATATATATATATATATATGTATATTAATTTTTTGGCTTGAATTTGCTTTTTTTTAATATTATATAAGCAAATTTAATATTAAAAAATGCAATTTAATTTTTAATAAATATTAAATTTGCTTTTTTTTTATTTTGGCTTTAATTTGCTTTTTAAATTTGGCTTTAAATTTGCTTTTTTTAATTTGGCTTTAAATTTGCTTTTTTTACTTTTATACATGTTTCTTAAAATTTAAATTTAATTTGTTTAAATATATATATTTTATTTTATCTTCTTACTTATAATAAATTACATATGTGAAAAATGCAGAAATCTATTCCAGATCGTTTGCACTTACAATTCTAAGAATTTAAATTTTATTTAACAGTAAGGCTTTGGTTTAATTAATTAAGAGTGTGTAGGGTTAAATTACTTATATTTATGGAATTCTAATTATTCTTTCAGTAGAATTTCCAAAATTGGTTGCATGTGACGTTTATAATGCCCGTTAAATGTTTACAAAAGTGTTGATTATTTATTTATTTATATTTATTTATTTATTTATATTTATCTATTTATTTTTATTTATATATTTATAATTATCTATTTATTTATTTATATTATCTTAATTTTATTTATTTATTTATTTCGTAGAGTCATTAGGCTTTTTTTTTGAAGCAGGAGATGCGAAAATTGTGCAATTCCGTCGAACATGACCCTCTCAAATACGCGCCGCCTTTGCTACTGTTACACCAAGAAGGCATAGTGGAAGTAGAGAGAATATATCTTATATACATCCCCTTTTAAAAGGCGCCTGGGGATTAGGGTACCCAGTCGTTAAATCCTGGTGATGATGAATTATCGTCCATTGCTTTTTTAGTTCGAGCTTCACTGTAGAGTTATTAGAGTTTTTGAAGCAAGAGATGTGAAAAATGTACAATACCCTCCCCGGGACTCGAACTTGAACCTCTCAAACAGGCTTCGAGAATGCTCCCGTTACACAACAAAGTCATGCTTTAAGAAGGGAAGGAATACCAAATAATTTATTTATTTATTTATTTATTTATAATTATTTATTATTTCTTTTTCCCGCATATTTACGCATTCTTTATCCTTGCCGCTTCCAAAATATTATCCTCTTTGACTAATACTCCATCCCTTCCAATACTATTTCCAATTCATATAGCCGCCTTAGGATGCTTCTTCATAACAATGCGTTGTTCCCTCCGTGAATTTTCTTTCATTTTGTGGACTGTGTGCAATTTTCGTAATTGCAAAAATTTCAGAGTTAACACAAGTTCTGAAAATTTCAGAATATAGGTTAGTTTTTTTTTCTGTCATTTCAAAATGAATTTTAGTTTCGAAAAAGAACAGAAAATAACTCTGCAGAAGCAAATTAGCGAGAACAAAGAATCTGATGAAGCACAAATTTTCTCTAGTTTAGCAGAATAAAATCACGGATTAAAATACACTGCTGGCCACCCAAATTGCAACACCAAGAAAGACAAGAGATTCCACAACAAAATTTATTTAGTACATACCATGTTGACCGAGAATCAAATGATTAAATTTATAGACTTCTGTGAAGTGTATTTCCTTCCAGAATCAGTAGCCAGAGTAGCCTTCATTGTTGGAGATCACCGCGGCCACACGCCTCGGCATTGATTCGAAGAGACTTTGGATGTGTTCTTGGGGCACAGCAGACCAAGCAGCTTCCACGCGTTGCCAAAGTTGATCTGGTGTGGCAACTTGGGATGTAATCTGGGTCAATCGTTCAGCAACCATGCACCACATATTTTCTATTGGCGAAAGATCCGCAGAGCGAGCCGGCCAGGGAAGCAATTCAATCTGGCGATTGACGAAGAAACATTGGACAATGCGTGCCACGTGTAATCGCGCATTATTATGTTGAAATATGGCTGTGGGTAAACCCTGAAGTTAAGGAAGGACAACTGGCTCAAAGACTTCAGAGATGTAGCGCTGGCTGCTGAAGGTACTGGCAATGCGTATTAGAGGATTGCGATAGTGCGAGAGTGATATCCAATACCGCCCCATACAATAATACCCGGTGCAGGATCAGTGCGGCGGTGCATAACGCAGCTGTTCAGCATCCTGTATCCACGGTGTCTGCAGACTCGAATCCGACCATCGTGGTGTTGCAGACGAAATCGTGACTCGCCAGTAAAGACAATTTCATTCCGTTCTACCGTCCACATCCTTCTTTCATCGCACCATTGGCGGCGGAGACATCCTTGGTTCTGCGTCAAGGGTAGACGAAGCAATGGACGTCTTGCGGACAGACCACTCTGCTGTAAACGGCGTCGAATGTTACTCGCAGACACTCGTTGATGCTTTACAGACTGAATGTGCTGTGCTATGGTTCGTGATGTGACTGAGCGATCAGTCACTACCATGCGCAGTCACTGCCATGTTCC